AAAATGACAGTTTTAAAACAGAGCTAAAGAAATATTATAGGGATGAAATAATAATAATGAAAATTTAAGATACAATGTATCAGTTAAACAGTAAATTAGACATCAGTGAAAAAACAATTAGGAAACTAGGAAATCTTAAAAAAAAAATCCAGAATGGAGTAGAGAGACAAATAGATGGAAACTATAAATAGGTGAGGAAATAATGGTATATGTGGTAAGAAAGTCTAAAATATACAAAGGTATAAAGAAAAAAGTCAATATTCAAAGAGATAATGGCTGAAATTTTTCACAGAATTTATGAAAGACACAACCATATTCAGGAAGTCCGCCCCCAAAATTAGCAGGATAAATAAGAAACATTCCACCTAGACACATAAAACTATAGACCTAAGAAAAAGCATCATAAAAACCAGAGAGAAAAGGCAGATTAGCTGTTTAAAAAAAAAAAAAAAAAAAAAAAGCAAGCTTTAAATAAAGAGCCAGCTGCCTCAAAAACAGTAATGGACAGAAGAGAAAATACGATCTTCAATGTACTAAGGTAAGAAATCTTAAAACTCTCAATTTCATATGGTAGGAAAACTATCCTTCAAAAATAAATTTTATTCAAAAATAAAGTCACTGTCAGATAATAAGAAGAGTTTTACCATGAACAGGCTCTCACCAAGGGAATGCAATATGTACCTGAAGCAAAAGTAAACTAATCAGAGAAAAACAATGTACAAAAATCAAAAAGAATGGGTATATATGTGTGTTTATAAACATATACATATATTTACTAAAATTCAAAAGTAGTAATAATTTATAATATTAAAAAATAAAAACCAATTAAAATAGCACTCAAAAATAACAGAGAAATCAAGAGAATGATTGGTGTCTAAGCATCTTAGGTTCAAAAATAAACAAGTTCTTGCTTAATTGTATCCCTTTCAAGTACATGCGTGTTAAAGTTCCTTTCTGTGCATGTTAAATTTTTTTTGTTACAGGATCAGAAAAAATGAATGTGTCTCCCAAATTAGTAAATGAAGAAAAATAATACAAAAGGTTAAATATCTATCCAAAAGAATTTAAGGATGAGGAATAAGGAGAACTACGGAAGGGGAAGAAGGAGCACAATGAAGGAGGAGGGGAGAGGGAGGAGGAGGAGGAGGAGGAGGAGGAGGAGGAAAAACACGGGAAAACTAACTAAAAATCAAAATGAAATCAGATATAAATTCCAACATATTTTTATAATCAACACAAAAAATAAACCTACAAGATAAAGACAAAGATTATCAGGTAGAATTTTTAAAAAAGCAATCATATGCTATGTAGATATTCCTAAAGTATAAGAAAAAATAAAGCTATAAAAATGATTGTGATACAACGTGAGTAGCTGCACATATCAATATACATAAATCTATGAAAGATAATAGAGAGGAAACCACAAGTCTCAGAAGCATACAGGGAAGATGATGCTATTTACACAGAATTGAAGATATGAAACCAATATATTTAGAATACATAATATGGTAAAAAAAAACTATAATGAAAAGAAAAAAAATGGCAAGCACCAAATTCCAGATACCGGTCACCACAGAATAGTGGGAGAAGCCTATGTAGAATGAAGAAGAGATGTATGGAAGCTTCAGAGGTATAGATTATTTCCTATAACAGGCATGTGGTATTTAATTTACTGTTAAAAACTTTTTCTAAATATATTTAACATTTTATAAAATAATTTTTAAATAAGTCAAAGTATTAGTAACTTCAAAATGTTTGGCCTTAACTTTTTTTTACTCTGTTCACGTTGATGCCAAATGAGTACACTGACTGCATCGCTTGCCATAAGCTTTTCTGTTTTTTTCATCACAGATGCAGTACATGACACAAAACATACATCCACACCAAAGCCAAGGCCCTCCACCAGGTTTGTATTTTCAAACCCAGAAAAGAGGAAAAAACTAGATTTCAAACATGTCACTGACTAAATGGAAAAATGGCACTGTAAGGCTGCTCACTTGCTTTGCGGTAAACAAATACATTTTAACTGCATACTTTTCTAAAATGATTTTCTGGAAGTTATAGCTTAATCAAATGTAGTTCCAAAACCTCTTTAGAAATCTTCTAACAAAAAGATAAAGTAAGCGAGAAATACTTCTTGAAACTTCAGAATGTTAACCATGAGTAAGGGAAAACAACGCCTACAGTCACAAAATACAAAGACCTGATAAGACTGGATTTTCTGAGACAGAAATCTTACACTTGACAGCTGCATCAAATTGAGAAAATGAAGATGCATTCTAGAATTACTCTGCAATATGCATAGATGGGTACGGACTAAAATGCTTGATATCAATCATAATGATGTTAGTGTCTACCTTTTTACGTTTCCACGTCAATGTGTCTGATAGCTTAAATGTAATTGCTGACTATGTCAAGATCCACTAAAAGTAATATTTGATCATTTAAAGAAGTTACTCTCTTCTCTATTGCTTCAAAAATAAAGCAATTTTGTCTTTTAGCACAGAAGTGTCACCAAGAATATTGAATAATCAATAAAACTTCAAACAGAAGAACTTTGTGATCTTCAAATCAACTCTTCATAAAACAAGGCAAATCATCTGTTATTTAATGCACAAGTTTTTGCATTATTCACTATCCAGATAGTAAAAGGTTGATGTGACTCATAATTCCTAGGCAGAGATTCAAATAAATTGATGAATGGCTCTAAAAATACCGCCTTCCAGTTCGGGGGAAGGGGGTAGCGCCTCCTACCTTTTCCTTGATTTTTGATTTAAGTGAATCCTGACCCCAGCATTGGAGAGCCACCATTAATCAGTTCACTTGTTTTTTTTTCAACTCTATTCACAGACATTAAAAAGTTTTAACTATAATTTTCTCAGTAACACCACATAACAATAGACCTCAAAAGCTTACAGAAATTAGAATTCTTTCTCTCTTGGGATTTAGTTACATACTGTATATAAAAGAGAAAATAAGAAAAACTGACTCTATCAGCAGATACATAACAACTGACCACAAAGTCCCTAAGCTTTGAGCACAGGCACAATTTCAAGAGTTACATGTCCAGCTAAGCCATTCCTCTGAGAGAGCTCTAGACCGGAATGTTCTCAAGTTATCTTCTCAATTCTCTGTCTATATAAAGTGCTATGATTTCAGGGGGGAAAAATCTCCAAAAAGATTTGCTATTCTCTTCGATTAAAAAGACTACTTCTTAGGGAACAACCACATCACTTGTGGAATCCTGATAATATATTCTATAACAGGCCATTCTTGGGGAAGTAATTTGATTTTTATTTAAATTAGGTTCAAATGTAAGAGACATATAGCATTATTCCCCAGTGTTTTTAGGTGAAATCACAAAAAATAACTTTATTGTAATGCGCATAAATTTATACATGAAGCCCTGTCAGTTTTTCTTTTGTTAGCATATTCACCCACTCAAAAGATGAAGATAAAGAAGAAAATGTAAAGTCTACTTTTAATTATATTGAAAAGCCAAGAACATTTCCAGTGCCCTACCCGATAAATTGAAAAATGAGTATAGCTCCGAATCAACCCAAAACTAGCTTTTCCTACATTTAAACTCCATAGGAACAGGCCTCGAACAGCTCTGCCATTTTCTCAAGCCCCATATCTAACAGTACTTGGAAAGCGGCAGGTGCTCAATAATTATTTTGTGAATTAATACATTTAACTGGTACATATTAAGCTAGAAACCAGGGCGCTTCATGTACAACTATACCTCTAAATAAATTCCTAACTCAACTTAGTTTCTAACAATAGGCAACATTAAGACTTAAGGCTAAAATTGAACTTCATTGTTTCAATCAACAAATCTTACCGAATACCTTCTATGTGCTAAGCATGGTCTAGTAAAGAGAGGTAAATAAGAAATATGAAGTCCTCAGTCTCATGTCCACTATTAGTTTACAGTCTACAAAACAGATTGGAAGTGGCAAAATATGAAAAAATAAAGATAAAGTTGAAATATACTAAAGATTCTTTGTTCACTCTTCACATTCCATAGTTAAACCTCACTAACTTTCATGACTTAGCAGGTAGAGTCCTTGTATTTTAAATACTTGTACTGTCCCCAATTTTTTCATACTACAGCCAAACTTTACGAATATCCAAAGAAAGTAACAATTGGAGAGAATATCAAAGAGATTCTTTTACTTATTAACAACCAATCATAATTTGTCATTCCAGCCCTCAGAATATATGCACAAACATCATGTACACTCATAAAGATATATTCTTATGCAGAAATAAACACTGACATATTATACAATAACAAGTTAAAACTGATCTGCCTTTGACCCTTGGAGCTGTGAAATTCTAATTCTATAAGTGCTCAGATATTTTAAAACTTCTGTTTGAAAATTTTTAAGAATATGCTCAGCTAAAAAGTCTAAAATTGATTTAGAGACACTCCTATATTAATGTTGCCAGATACAGGACACCCAGTTAAATTTGGATTTCAGAAAATCATTTTTTCTTAATATAAGAATATCTGAAATTCAGATTTTACTGGGCATCCTGTATTTATATTTGCTAACTCGGGCAACACTAATCTAACACAACCATTTCCAACAAAGGAAAAAATTAATTAATGGTACTTCTTGCTATGTCAAACAAGAATAGCTAATATAAATGCAATCCCCAAATTCTGAGTGAAACTCAATCACAGTAAATTAGTAGTTTCTGATCATGATTATTCTCATTTTAAAAAAGCCTAAGTTTTTTAAAATTCTAAGGAGAAAACTGAGGTTTTTAAGTCCATAGTCTATGTGTTACCCAGTAATATATACAAAAGTACAACTGCGACTGTATTTCTTTATGCATATCAATATTATGTATTCACTTTTTACCTTAAATAGTTGTTGAGCTATACAAGGTTACTAATTATAGAATAAAGTATTAAATACAAGTAACAGATTGATAACTACTGTTTAATTTAGTAACATGCCCTGATGATGCTGAGATATAGAAATTACCTCACAGGATTGCTAGTCAAAGACACGCGAAGTGACTCCAGGCACGTGACAAGTCTCTCATCTGCAGACCCCATTTTCAGTTCATGAATGAATTCCTGAGGTGAGATCTGCCGATTTCTCTTAAGACTTCCCTGTAAAGTAAGTCAAAAACAGTTTTTTAATTCATACTGTGTGAAGATTACCCATTAAAAACAATTACATCACCCTCACCTTTCATATTAACAGCAGCACACAACTACTCCAAGTATTACTTCGAGAGGATGATTTCCTTACTTCTGCCCATAAATCTATAAATTCACAATCTATGGTATCCACAAAAATAGTAATGTAGTATCAAAACATCTGCAAATTCAAGTAACAATTTTTTCAAATAAAAAAATAGAAAGCAATAAAGTGTGTATCATAGAAAATATTTTAAAATATTTTAGGCATACTCAAAATAAAAACCAAAACGCAATACAAGAATGACCCTATTAAAATCAACATTCCAGGCAACATAAAAAGCCTGAGATTTTACCATACATTCAAACTAAGTTAGCCTGCTAAGTTTTCATGGAAGCTGACAGAAAACACAAGAATCCTAAGATAGAGTCAAAATACTTGACTCGGCATATACTGGTTCCCCCACCCACCAACTCCCACGGGGCGATGCAGGGCCCCTGACGGACGCTGGACGCCTGCACAGGCAGGGGGCTGCAGTCCAGGGAAGAATGCTGAGCGCGGGGGACTCACGACCGTTCCAGTGAGCCATAACAAGCCTGCTCATTACCCACAGACAAAACTTCACGTCTAAGGCTATTCACGGTAAATGCAAGTGGCCTGAGTGAAGAGTATTCAAGCTTTGAATTCTTGGCATAACCAAAAAAAAAAAAAAAAATAAAACACACACACACACACACACACACACACACACACACAGAGTGATATTCAGGGCCCATGACAGACTGCCTCTCCCAATGATAAATACAGCTCATAAGGGATTTGTATTCAGAATATTTAACGAACTCCTACAATTCAATAGTAATAACACAAACAGTACAATCACTAAAGGAGATACACGAATGGCTAATAATCACATGAAATGATGTTCACAATAATTTATCAACAGGAAATATAAATTAAAACAAGTGAAATAACACTACACACTCCCTAGAGAAGTGAGGATGTGAAGCCCTGGAACTCTGCGACATGACTGGTGGAGACGCAGCACGGTACTGCCGCTTTCCAAAAGGGTTCTGGCAGTTTCTTTTCAAGCTAAATATACACTGACCACAGGACTCAGCAATTGCACAACTAAGTGTTAAGCAGGAGGAGAAAATAAATATATGCATGCAATGTTCAGAACAGTTTTATTCATAATAGCCTGGGTTATATCCATTTAATGGAATACTATACAACAATAAAAAAAAACTTTTTTCACTACTGATAACACAAAATAAATGAATCCAAAATAACTACGCTGCGTTAAAGAAGCCACAAAAAAGTGTATGTGGTGTATGTCTCCATTTATATAAAAGACCAAGACCAACCTGTCAATTTTTTCTCTACGACCATTTTAGTTCAAAGCATAGAAGCAGAGCTGTTAATTTCTGGTGTGTTTGTTTGTTTGCAGAATAGTGTTAAAGATGAACAACATCTTAAATGGGACAGCAAGTAGATTTTTCCAATAAACATTGAGCAAAACAGATTAAACCCACTGGCAAAAAATACTTCTTTATCTCGGCCATGTTAAGTTTTTCTAGCATGAAGGATTTAACAGGCAATAAATTGCCTAAAAGCCTCTGCATTTTCACCTGAAATCCCTACTTCTCACACCCTCCCCTCTTACCAAAGCCTCACCATCACGTCTGCATCCTTGTACAGTCCTACTCCTGGGCATCGGTCAGATCTGGGCTGAGGTTAACTTCTCAGGCCAGGCCTTTTATGAGCTACACAAACTGAGTCCCCTATCTATGGCTTCCTTACTTAAAACACTCACCACTGTGTAACTATTTAAAAGTTATGTTGAATGCCTACTCTGTATCAGATCTTGTTTACATGATGTAAATCCAAGGGTAAAATAAAAGTCAAAAATACCACCTAAGCTTTTAGTCTAAGCTAAAATGTGATGTCATCTATTTGAACGGGAAGGAAGGAGAGTGGGTAATAGGGAATGTAGCTATTTAAGAGTTACAATTTTGAACAAATGATATTTTTCTAAGAAAATAACATCTGGGCAAGGACCAAAATAAAGAGAGAAATCTGGGAGAAGGATATTCCAAGCAAACAGAAGAGCAAATACAAAGCCTTAAGGCAGGGATGAACTTGGTATATTCAAAGAACAGCAAGAAGATGCATCTAAATCCCAGCGAACATGACAGAGCTAGAGATGACAAACAGACAAAACAGGCAGGCTTCTGATAACTGGAGATGGGATAGAAAAACTACAGTCTGACTGCCAAGTTGTTTTTTATGACTCGAGCTAAGAATGCTTTTTACATTTTTAAAAGCTTGGAAAAAAAAGGAGGAAGAGGAAGCACAGGAGAGAAGGGAAGAGGAAGATGAAGCAGCAGCAACTGAGGCGCGATGGACACAGGAAACCTGAAATGTTTTCAATCTGACTGTTTCCAAGAAAGTGTGTAGGCCACTGACAGGATCCTGCAAGCCATGGTGAACGCTTTAGGTCTTATTTTGAGCGGAGGAAAAACTACTGGAGGGTACTGAGCATAGAGAAAATCTAATAAGCATTTTTTTAAAAATTATTCTATGTCCAATGTGGCAACATACTGTAACTGGCAAAACACGAAACATGGGGACCAATTAGAAGGCTACTATACTGTTTGGTCAAGAGTTGACAGTAGCCTGGCATAAGATGCTAGGGATGAAAGACAGGAGAGTTGCTCAACACGAAGATGGATCAGACAAGATTTGCTGACAGTGAACGTGAGGTGTGAAAGAAGTAAAATTTAAAGATGATGCCAAAGCTTTTGGTCTCAACAACTAAATGAATGATGTCACGATCTACTAACCACTGTGACCTTATCAATATCAGCTTGAATAGCAGGTATACTGAAGATAAGCCTGAACAGAACTTTAAGGGGGAAAGAAAGGAAAAGAATGCAAACACTTCTGAAGAGATTTTCGTGTAAAGGAGGAGCAAAGAACTGGGGCAGTAGCTGTGGGTGTGATTTGGGCAAGGGATGGGAGGGGCAGACCATGTTTGCGTGCTGCTGAGAACGACCAAGCAAATGGGAAGAAACTGATGATGCAAAGGGTAGTTACAGATGCAGTAAAACAAGCAAGCAAACAAAAAACCCTTGAGTAAGATGACAGGGGATGTGAGCTACTACATAAGAGGAAAGATTGACCCTACACAGTTGCAGGGAAAGTATATCACTGTAAGAACAAAAGCAGAATCAAAGGGAACAGATTCTGGTACAGTGTTAGATCTGGTGATTTGGAAGTGAGGTACGGCAGTTCCATTACCTCGATGCTCTCAGTAATAGAAGCAGCAATAAACATCAGCTAAAAGTGAAAAATGGAGAACTAGAGGTATGGGGAAAAAAGATGAAATCATTTTCAGAAAGTAAAGAAGTGCACTGAGAAGATCTGTTGTCTGTTAAGATACATGTTAAGTTTGTTGGTCAACCGTGGTCATTCGGGAAATACCAGTCAGTGTGCTACATGCTTCCTCCTAGATGCATGCTGTACGGAAGAACAAATGCAAAGAGGTGGGAAGTTTAACAAAGGGCAGAGTGTATGTAAAGAGATGAGGTAGCTGATGGTTTATACAAGAGGAGAACAAAGGACTGTGTGTCTAAGGTCCATAAGGAAAGGAGTTAAGGCATGTGGGGTTGAAGAGGCACTAAACACACACAAAAAAAATGGTAGAGTCAATGGATTAACAGTTCTAATAGGGTATAGAATTCTCTTTTTTTTTTTTTTTAAGATTTGTTTATTTATTTCTAGCGAGAGGGGAAGGGAGGGAGAGAAACATCAATGTGAGAGAGAGATATCAACTGCATGCCTCTCGCATTCTCCAAACTGGGGACCCAGCCCACAACCCACAACCCAGGTGTGGGTCCTGACTGGAAGCGAACCGTCAGCCTTTCAGTTTGTGGGACAACGCCTGAACCACTAAACCACACCAGCCATGGCTAAAAGGGTTATGGAATTCTTAAAGTGAGAATATTTAAGTAAGTAGGAAAGACAGACAGTGCCCAGGAAAGGAAGTTTGTAAACCATATTTAGAGCTGATATTTTACTATCCAAGATAATGAGTGGATGAGTTTGGTTGGAAAAACAAAGGTCACCGGGAGTGATAAAGTCAAGGAAATAAGAGTACGGAAGGTTGGATGGATCATCTATGTCAATGATGAAGTTAGTAAGAATAATGTCAGTGGTAGTAGCAGGAAGGAAAGCAATGAGCTAGGGAGCCAAGTCTGCTAGGAGTAAGGAGCCTGTCAGTACATGACGCCTCTGTGTGACGCCACCCTGCCGTTAGAACACCTCTGCCAGGGCAGTGTGGGCTGCTGCTAATTCATCGCTGCGTCGTCAGCCCCAGGAAAGGCCTGGCATTCAACAAATGAATGAGCTTATAATAAAATGGAAGATATACGTAGACTGAGGATTAAAATAAGAAAGAAAAAGTCAAACCATTATGAAAAAAATGATTACTCAGAAGGGAATATTTCAAATTAAAGTCCTAGGAAACAGACCAGATATTTGGGAAATTAGTTTTCAGCACAATTTCCCCCTTTTATTATACTACTATCAAAATACATGTATAAAAGAAAATTGAGGAGAGAAAACATTATGTTGCATGAATAATCAGAAATACTCCTTGTAAGCACAGCTCTTCTTGTGTTTCTTTCATTTTATATAACTTCAAAGGAAGTGGGAAGAAGGTAGAGAGAAGGGAAGGGCACTCCTGCCTGCATATCTACAAGCCCATCAGCCAGGAAGGTGAAAATACTTAGAAAGCTTGATCCCCTGCAGTATCAAACACATTACTGAGATAAGAATGTCTGCCTGAGAGCAAGAAAATTAGAAGGATATTTATCCAACATAATTTTTAAATCTTTTCTAATCCCTTAGTAAATTTTATCCTAAAACACCAAATGCAGAACAGAAAGAAATGTACATAAATTAC